ACGTGATGTTGGTGACGTGATGTTGGTGGCGATGTTGGAGACCTGAGGTTGGTCCAGCGTCTGCCCGTCGATGATGCCTGCACATACCCTGAGATCTTCTTGTAACAGCTCTGGGGTACGTCTGGTGACAGAGCGAGTCTACTGGTAACAGACTCCTCGTCAAGCTATCAAACTGCTCGAAGGTGGTGGTGTGAAGAGCAGCGGCAAGTGACAGCGGCCGGGGACTTGGCCGGTCACAAGTGAACGGTGTTAGGAGAGATGTATGGAGGCACATCTCACCTCCAGTTGCTTGAAACTGACGGTCGATGATGAGTGACAGCAGCTACATAGCAGAAGTCGTGACCGCAGGGCAGATAGTGTGACGTCAACGATGTCTTGCATAAGAAGTAAGCAGGTATAGGTGTTGAGGCGTGGCGGCAGACCAAGTGGATCCCGACTTCAGCTCCTGGGCCCCATCATTGAACAGGCGTTGTTTGAAGTACCAAGCCGGTACGCCTTATCGCGCATGCCCTAATGTGCTTGACCTTTGGCCGATGGTGCAAAACGTGCACCCTATTGGCGAGTGAAGCACACTCTGTAGTGATGTGCCGTTGAAAAGTGACCACCTCGTTGCTCATCTTGTTGGAATCAGTGAAGTGGCCTCCACAAAGTCGAGGGGGAACTGGTAGGTTACTGCTGCCGGCTTACCTGCTTCGTTGACCTCTTGCCTCCACTTCCGGTGTTCCTGCACGGTGTGTCGCAGCAGGCAGGTGGGTGCCCCTGATGATGAACTGCAAGACTGGGGCCCACCATGGTACGTTGACATCTGGACAGCTGTGCTCTGCTGGCAGGAACTCTGGCTTGGACAACCTCGTGTGGTGGGAGGTGTCGGCTGGGTGAATGGTGTCATTATCACCGTCCCAGGTAACCGAGTGGTGGGGTTACCGGGAGTGTTGGGAGGGGGTGGGGTGTAACGTAACCCTCTCTCCACTGTACCAGAGGGGTGACCCCTCTGGCCTCAATGTTGGTTCACGAGTAGCTGGGACCGTGGACGGGTCGGTGTGGACAATCAGACCTGGGGAAGACAGGATAACACTCCGACTGGCGGAAGCAAGGACTCTCCCCTGGGCTTTGGTGACAGGGTACAGCCCAAGGGTAGGTAAGGCATGCTCTCTGAATACATTCCATGACAAAATCTCAAAACAATTGCCAGTTTAAAAACTCTGCTAAAACAAACAACTACTAAGGGACGAGACAGTTTACTGAAACTCTCCCTGCCTCGCCCGTGACCTCGTTAACATAGGGTGACAAGGCTGACCCTGGGTACCAATGAGAGTTGACAGAAGGTCCTCCTCTCCATCCTGGGCACGCCCAGCTGGGTCAGTCAACTCAGAAGGGTCAGGAATGGGAATCGCTGAAGGCAGTTCCAGTTCCTCCCTGGCAACGTAACACTTTAATTTGTTGACATGAATAGTTGTGTCACTCTGGTCATCAAAGATTCCCCTGATCAGAAAAGTAACTGGTCCAAGCTTCTTAATTACTCTATATGGTCCACGCCATCTAGGTGCTAGCTTCCTACTTTGATTGGCAGGAGTCTTTTCATTTAACCTCATAACCAAGCTTCCCTCTCTAAGTGTCAACGGTTGAACCCTCTTATCATAATAGTGCGCATACCGGCTCCTCGCTGTCTTAGAAGCCTCAGCAGCAATCCTCCAAGCATTTCTCATTTTAGAGAGGATTTCTGAAGGATAATCCTCACCGTACACAACCTCGTGTCTGTTAAGCAGACCTGATGGGAAGTTACATGAGCGCCCCGTGAAAAGCAGCAGTGGTTGGGTGTTAATTGACTGATGAATGGCAGTGTTCAAGGCTAGTTGAACATAGGGGAGTTGTTCGTCCCAGGTGGCAGCATCTTTCTCTGCAAGAATTGCTAGCATATCCTTAATTGTACGATTGGTTCTTTCAGTCATACCGTTTGCTTGCGGATGGTAAGCAGTCGTGAGGGCTGTTGTTGTTTCTAAAATTTTTCAAACCTCTTTAAAAGTGTTACCAACGAATTCTTGACCTCTGTCAGATACTAATACTTTAGGTGGTCCAAACACAGTGACAAATTTACTTAAAAAAGCGACTGCAACCGTCTGGGGGTCCTTACGAGGAAGAGCAACCTAGGTAGTGAACCGGGACAGATGGTCCACTAGCACCAACACGTAGCGATTACCAGAATGACTACTGTGTAAATTAATCAAATCCGCTCCCACTCGATCTAAAAGCTCAAAAATGTCAGGGAACTCTTGTAGTGGCGCCTGTACCTTAGGGGTACCTTTTCTCCTTTGACAATTCGGACACGATCTGACAAACTTAGTGATATAAGATAACATCCTAGGAAAATAGAATAAAGTTTTAGCTCTCATATAGGTCTTAAAGACCCCAGGGTGACCAGCGATCTTAGATGCATGTGCAAGTTTCACGGCTGAGGATCTTAACACGTCGGGGATGACTAACTGGTAAACTGCACGATCTTTCATGTCGTTAACATAATATAGGACACCCTTCTGCAGGTCAAAATGCTGCAGGGGAAAGTTACCTTTCTTCATAGGGTATTTACCACCCTCCAAATATTCAATTATTTCCTTCCATCGCTGTTCTCCCATTTGAAATTCTCTCATTTTATCACTTGCAATAGTTTCAATGTTGACATTTACGTTAACTGACGCGACGTTCCTACTCAACGTGTCTGGCACCACGTGAGATGGTCCAGGCTTATAAAGGATCTGAAACGAGTGAGCTGACAACTCATGAGACCAACGGGACATCCGGGGACACTTTGTTTTCTTTTTAAATATATATGTGAGAGCTCTGTGATCTGTGAAAATAACAAAATGACGTTGGAATAGGTAAGGCTCAAAATAACGAACACTTTCGACCACAGCAAGTGCTTCCTTGTCTGTTGCTGAGTATCTAACCTCAGGTCCCTTCACTTTTCTGCTGAAATACGCCACAGGGTGAGGATGGTTCTCTGAATCACGCTGCATTAAGCACCCTCCTATGGCAATACCACTAGCGTCTGTATGCACCTCCCACTCCTTATCAAAGTCAGGCACAGCTAATACTGGGGCGGTAATTAATTGACTTTTGAGCCTAGTATAAGCCTCATCGTGTTCTAAGGTCCACATAAATTTAGCATTCTTCTTTACAAGGTCAGTTAAAGGCGCTGTTATACTAGCAAATCCCTCAATATGGCGGCGGAAGTATCCGGCTGCTCCCAGAAACCGGCGCACATCCCTTGCTGACCTAGGCCCGGGCATCTCATCAATGGCGCGGCATGAGTCTGGGTCAGGGCGGATGCCATCTGTGCTCACCTGGAACCCCAGAAATTTGAATTTCTGAGATGCCAGGGTGCACTTGTTGATATTTAATTTGAACCCTGCCTTGTCTAACAATGAAAGTGTCTCAGTCAAGTCCCGCAGGTGCTCATCAAACGACCCAGAGTAGATAACCACGTCATCCAGGTATGCTAATGAATGCCTACCTAGCACAGGGCTGAGGATGTAGTTAATAGCCCTCTGAAATGAGGAAGGGGCTGTCTTGAGCCCAAAAGGCATGCGCTTAAACTGAAACTGGTGAACCCCATCAGAGAATGCTGTTTTCTCACGGTCCTTAACTGCAACTGGAATAGCCCAATATGCTGACTTAGCATCCAGAGTGGAGAAATACTTGGCTGCCGCGAACTGATCTATAATTTCCTGAATCCGAGGTAAGGGGTACACGTCCCCCTTTGTAATTTCATTAACTTTCCGATAGTCGACGCAAAACCGGTAACTACCATCCGGTTTGCGCACCAGCACCACCGGAGACAACCATGGTGAAGTGCTTGGTTCTATAACTCCCTGTCTTAACATCTTCTGACACTCCTCTCTGATAGTTTTCTTAGCCTGTTCCGGGAGCCTCCACTGTCTCGTATACACGGGCTCGTGATCACCTGTTGGAATGGTGTGCTCAATTCTGTCTAACAACCCAATTTGATCGTCGTCCGTTGCAAATAATTTGGGGAACATCCGCAAAACTTCCCGCACCCGTTTCCTCTCTAATTGTGGAATGTGCTGTAAGTCTAGTGCTGATATTAATTTATTCAAATCGTTGGTATCGCAAGGTGGCGTGAGCACCGTTGTGCTGTGCCTAGGAGTCTTACTAGTGTCTCTAACATTAAGAGCGCCACATTGCTTAGTGTCTGTAATTGTTTCCGATGGATCTGATTGAAAGATCGATGTCTCCTCTAAGATAATACCCTGAGACACTCGATCACCCACTCTGAAGCGGTAGGTCTTGTGTGAGAGATTGACTACAGGTATGAGAGCACCTTTGTCCAGGACAACAATTAAGTGGTGGGGAATTAATAATTTATCAAACCTGCCGGCCACAAGAAGGGTAGTACCAGGCTGAATATGACGACCCACGGCCACCCTAAGGAACCTAAATGATCGTGGTGGGCAAGTCTGCTTGCCAAAAGCATGTAAAATACACGACTTCTTATTATTGTCTGGAGGAGACTGAAACAAAAATTTTGCGTAATTGGCATGATGTTTCTGCTTACGCTGGATGGAAGCTACAACCGGGGGATGGTCAGTCAATGTCACCGGATAGGATACAGTTCCTAATTTCAACCGGCAATGTCTCGCCCCTTTCTCAGCAGACAGAGAATATGAAAACCTGTGTAAGAAATCCATGCCAATCAAGATATCACCCGGATAAGCAAGATTCTGAACCACCGTACAAGTGTGAGGGTACGACCCATCATGACCTATTTCAAAATTAATTGTGGCCTGACCCAAGATGTCAATTTGTCCCCCATTAACTGCTGTGAGCTGCTTACTACTACATTTAAGCCGTGCATGTTTGAATTTGCTGAAGGCTGAACTCTTAATGAGTGTTGCTTGGCTACCCGTGTCCATGAAAGCAATCAAACTCTCACCCTCAACCTTCACCTCAAATGTAGGTCGACCATCATGAAACGGAACCTTATCTCAGGCTTCAAACACCCCGCTAGGGCAGGCACGCTGCATATGTCCTCGACCCCCACAATTATAACACGTAATATTGTATGTGTGTACCCGCCGAGGGGGAGGCCCTGTCCCCCTTTTCGTAATGGTCTGTGGTCGTGGGAAGTCCCCTGGTCCCTTGTCGACCTGCACTGTTGCAGGATCGGCAATAGCATTAACATAAGGGGTCGGCTGGGTGCTGACCCGAGATGCGGTCTGTTCCACGTCACAGAACCAGGATGCGTGTTCTAATAATCTATCAAAGCTCATATGGAGACCCTCTGTTGCAATAAACGGGCCAATGGTGGGAGGTAAAGATCTGCAAAAGAGCTGTTTCGCCAAGCTCTCAACCGCCGCTGTGTCATACCCCAGTTCCTGTCTGAGGTCACTGACCCTACTCAACACAACAGTACCGAACGCTTTGACTGTAACATTCGGGTCGCGACGAAGATTTGACAAATATCTGTAAGCCTCTTCCTCCGTGATCCGCTCCTTGTACCGTTGTTTTATCGCATGTACGAACTCTGGCCATGTGCCCAAACGTCTAAACGTCTCTAGTTTCATAAGAGGGCCGCTCGGATCCACGCAAAACCCGGCGGCCAGATGGATCTTCACAGGATCGCTGGGCGCCGACGCTAAGGCAGAATCCACCTGCCAGAGCCAGTCCTCTACTGCTCTGTTGCGCTCCACCTTATCACGCGATAGGTCATTGCAAATCAATTTAGGCACGACCGGCTTGGGTAACAACCCCGCTAAGGCTGGCAAATGAGGAGACCCACCCGGGAGGGGCGCGGAGGAAGGGGAATACTGGGCGGGGACATAGGGGAGGTGGGGGGCAGGAGGGTAGGAAGGGGAATGAAGGAAAGGAGGGGGGTTAGGTGTTAAGTGGGAGGGGTAAGGAGGGGAGCTGTGTGTCATGTGAGCTAAGGGGGTGGCTGGTTGATAGGACTGGGGGGTATAGGGTGGTTGAGGGGTAACGGAGGGTTGTGAATTACATTGGTGTTGTTGATGTGGGTGCGCCATGGTTAGTTGTGATGTTGTACCAAGTGCCTGTTGTTGTGGCTGAAGTGGTATCTGAGGTGTTGTACCAAATGCCTGTTGTTGTGGCTGAAGTTGTACCTGAGGTGTTGTACCAAATGCCTGTTGTTGTACCTGAGGTGTTGTACCAAATGCCTGTTGTTGTACCTGAGGTGTTGTACCAAATGCCTGTTGTTGTGGCTGAAGTTGTACCTGAGGTGTTGTACCAAATGCCTGTAGTTGTACCTGAGGTGTTGTACCAAATGCCTGTAGTTGTACCTGAGGTGTTGTACCAAATGCCTGTTGTTGTGGCTGAAGTTGTATCTGAGATGTAGTACCAAGTGCCTGTTGTTGTGGCTGAAGTTGTACCTGAGGTGTTGTACCAAGTGCCTGTAGTTGTACCTGAGGTGTTGTACCAAATGCCTGTTGTTGTGGCTGAAGTTGTATCTGAGATGTAGTACCAAGTGCCTGTTGTTGTGGCTGAAGTTGTATCTGAGATGTAGTACCAAGTGCCTGTTGTTGTGGCTGAAGTTGTATCTGAGATGTTGTACCAAGTGCCTGTTGTTGTGGCTGAAGTTGGATCTGAGATGTTGTACCAAATGCCTGCTGTTGTGGCTGAGGTTGTACCTGAGGTGTTGTACCAAATGCCTGTAGTTGTACCTGAGGTGTTGTACCAAATGCCTGTAGTTGTACCTGAGGTGTTGTACCAAGTGCCTGTTGTTGTGGCTGAAGTTGTACCTGAGGTGTTGTACCAAGTGTCTGTAGTTGTATCTGAGATGTTGTACCAAGTGCCTGTTGTTGTGGCTGAAGTTGTATCTGAGATGTTGTACCAAGTGCCTGTTGTTGTGGCTGAAGTTGTATCTGAGATGTAGTACCAAGTGCCTGTTGTTGTGGCTGAAGTTGTATCTGAGATGTTGTACCAAGTGCCTGTTGTTGTGGCTGAAGTTGTGTGTAGTGTATGTGTAGTGTACATGTAGTGTATGTGTAGTGTACGTGTAGTGTGTGTGTAGTGTACGTGAAGTGTACGTGTAGTGTATGTGTAGTGTACGTGTAGTGTACGTGTAGTGTGTGTGTAGTGTACGTGTAGTGTACGTGTACTGTATGTGTATGTGTAGTATATATGTAGTGTGTGTGTGTAGTGTACCTGTAGTGTACGTGTACTGTATGTGTATGTGTAGTGTATATGTAGTGTGTGTGTGTAGTGTGTGTGTAGTGTACGTGTAGTGTATGTGTAGTGTGTGTGTAGTGTATGTGTAGTGTATGTGTAGTGTATGTGTAGTGTATGTAGAGTGTATGTGTAGTGTATGTGTAGTGTATGTGTGTAGTGTAGTGTATGTGTAGTGTATGTGTGTAGTGTACGTGAAGTGTACGTGTAGTGTATGTGTAGTGTATATGTAGTGTACGTGTAGTGTATGTGTAGTGTGTGTGTAGTGTATGTGTAGTGTATGTGTAGTGTATGTGTAGTGTATGTAGAGTGTATGTGTAGTGTATGTGTAGTGTATGTGTGTAGTGTAGTGTATGTGTAGTGTATGTGTGAAGTGTACGTGAAGTGTATGTGTATGTGTAGTGTATGTGTAGTGTATATGTAGTGTACGTGTAGTGTATGTGTAGTGTGTGTGTAGTGTATGTGTAGTGTATGTATAGTGTGTGTGTAGTGTGTGTGTAGTGTATGTGTAGTGTACGTGTAGTGTATGTGTAGTGTGTGTGTAGTGTGTGTGTAGTGTGTGTGTAGTGTACGTGTAGTGAATGTGTAGTGTACGTGTAGTGTATGTGTAGTGTGTGTGTAGTGTGTGTGTAGTGTACGTGTAGTGTGTGTGTAGTGTATGTGTAGTGTACGTGTAGTGTGTGTGTAGTGTATGTGTAGTGTGTGTGTAGTGTACGTGTAGTGTGTGTGTAGTGTTCGTGTAGTGTACGTGTAGTGTATGTGCAGTGTATGTGTAGTGTATGTGTAGTGTATGTGTAGTGTGTGTAGTGTATGTGTAGTGTACGTGTAGTGTACGTGTAGTGTGTGTGTAGTGTACGTGTAGTGTATGTGTAGTGTATGTGTAGTGTGTGTTTAGTGTATGTGTTGTGTGTGTGTAGTGTACGTGTAGTGTATGTGTAGTGTATGTGTAGTGTGTGTGTAGTGTACGTGAAGTGTACGTGTAGTGTACGTGTAGTGTTTGTGTATGTGTAGTGTATGTGTAGTGTGTGTTTAGTGTATGTGTAGTGTGTGTGTAGTGTACGTGAAGTGTATGTGTAGTGTGTGTGTAGTGTATGTCTAGTGTATGTGTAGTGTATGTGTAGTGTATGTATAGTATATGTGTAGTGTATGTGTGTAGTGTAGTGTATGTGTAGTGTATGTGTGTAGTGTAGTGTACGTGAAGTGTATGTGTAGTGTATGTGTAGTGTGTGTGTAGTGTATGTGTAGTGTGTGTGTAGTGTATGTGTAGTGTATGTGTAGTGTATGTATAGTGTGTGTGTAGTGTACATGTAGTGTACGTGTAGTGTATGTGAAGTGTGTGTGTAGTGTACGTGTAGTGTACGTGTAGTTTATGTGTAGTGTATGTGTAGTGTGTGTGTAGTGTGTGTGTAGTGTACGTGTAGTGTATGTGTAGTGTGTGTGTAGTGTGTGTGTAGTGTACGTGTAGTGTGTGTGTAGTGTACGTGTAGTGTACGTGTAGTGTATGTGTAGTGTATGTGTAGTGTGTGTGTAGTGTGTGTGTAGTGTATGTGTAGTGTATGTGTAGTGTGTGTGTAGTGTACGTGTATTGTACGTGTAGTGTATGTGTAGTGTATGTGTAGTGTATGTGTAGTGTATGTATAGTGTTTTGTAGTGTATGTGTAGTTTAGTGTAGTGTATGTGTGCAGTGTAGTGTATGTGTTGTGTATGTGTTTGTGTAATGTATGTGTAGTGTACGTGTAGTGTATATGTAGTGTATGTGTATGTGTAGTATATGTGCAGTGTATGTATAGTGTTTGTGTAGTGTATGTGTAGTGTATGTGTGTAGTGTAGTGTACGTGACGTGTATGTGTAGTGTACGTGTAGTGTATGTGTAGTGTATGTGTAGTGTACGTGAAGTGTACGTGTAGTGTACGTGTAGTGTATGTGTATGTGTAGTGTACGTGAAGTGTACGTGTAGTGTACGTGTAGTGTATGTGTAGTGAATGTGTAGTGTGTGTGTAGTGTACGTGTAGTGTGTGTGTAGTGTACGTGTAGTGTACGTGTAGTGTATGTGTAGTGTACTTGTAGTGTGTGTGTAGTGTGTGTGTAGTGTGTGTGTAGTGTACGTGTAGTGTATGTGTAGTGTGTGTGTAGTGTATGTCTAGTGTATGTGTAGTGTATGTGTAGTGTATGTATAGTATATGTGTAGTGTATGTGTGTAGTGTAGTGTATGTGTAGTGTATGTGTGTAGTGTAGTGTACGTGAAGTGTATGTGTAGTGTATGTGTAGTGTGTGTGTAGTGTATGTGTAGTGTGTGTGTAGTGTATGTGTAGTGTATGTGTAGTGTATGTATAGTGTGTGTGTAGTGTACATGTAGTGTACGTGTAGTGTATGTGAAGTGTGTGTGTAGTGTACGTGTAGTGTACGTGTAGTTTATGTGTAGTGTATGTGTAGTGTGTGTGTAGTGTGTGTGTAGTGTGTGTGTAGTGTACGTGTAGTGTATGTGTAGTGTGTGTGTAGTGTGTGTGTAGTGTACGTGTAGTGTGTGTGTAGTGTACGTGTAGTGTACGTGTAGTGTATGTGTAGTGTATGTGTATGTGTAGTGTATGTGTAGTGTGTGTAGTGTATGTGTAGTGTATGTGTAGTGTATGTGTAGTGTGTGTGTAGTGTACGTGTAGTGTATGTGTAGTGTATGTGTAGTGTATGTGTAGTGTATGTGTAGTGTATGTATAGTGTTTTGTAGTGTATGTGTAGTTTAGTGTAGTGTATGTGTGCAGTGTAGTGTATGTGTTGTGTATGTGTAATGTATGTGTAGTGTACGTGTAGTGTATATGTAGTGTATGTGTATGTGTAGTATATGTGCAGTGTATGTATAGTGTTTGTGTAGTGTATGTGTAGTGTATGTGTGTAGTGTAGTGTACGTGACGTGTATGTGTAGTGTACGTGTAGTGTATGTGTAGTGTATGTGTAGTGTACGTGAAGTGTACGTGTAGTGTACGTGTAGTGTATGTGTATGTGTAGTGTACGTGAAGTGTACGTGTAGTGTACGTGTAGTGTATGTGTAGTGAATGTGTAGTGTGTGTGTAGTGTACGTGTAGTGTGTGTGTAGTGTACGTGTAGTGTACGTGTAGTGTATGTGTAGTGTACTTGTAGTGTGTGTGTAGTGTGTGTGTAGTGTGTGTGTAGTGTACGTGTAGTGTATGTGTAGTGTGTGTGTAGTGTGTGTGTAGTGTACGTGTAGTGTGTGTGTAGTGTACGTGTAGTGTACGTGTAGTGTATGTGTAGTGTATGTGTAGTGTGTGTGTAGTGTGTGTGTTGTGTATGTGTAGTGTATGTGTAGTGTGTGTGTAGTGTATGTATAGTGTACGTGTACTGTATGTGTAGTGTATGTGTAGTGTGTGTGTAGTGTATGTGTAGTGTATGTGTAGTGTATGTGTAGTGTATGTGTAGTGTATGTGTAGCGTATGTATAGTGTATGTGTAGTGTATATGTGTAGTGTAGTGTATGTGTAGTGTATGTGTGTAGTGTAGTGTACATGAAGTGTATGTGTAGTGTATGTGTAGTGTGTGTGTAGTGTGTGTGTAGTGTGTGTGTAGTGTACGTGTAGTGTGTGTGTAGTGTACGTGTAGTGTATGTGTAGTGTACGTGTAGTGTGTGTGTAGTGTACGTGTAGTGTGTGTGTAGTGTATGTGTAGCGTACGTGTAGTGTGTGTGTAGTGTATGTGTAGTGTATGTGTAGTGGGTGTGTAGTGTACATGTAGTGTACGTGTAGTGTATGTGTAGTGTACGTGTAGTGTACGTGTAGTGTACGTGTAGTGTACGTGTACTGTACGTGTGGTGTGTGTGTAGTGTGCGTGTAGTGTACGTGTAGTGTACGTGTAGTGTGTGTGTAGTGTATGTGTAGTGTACGTGTAGTGTACGTGTAGTGTACGTGTAGTGTACGTGTAGTGTGTGCATAGTGTACGTGTAGTGTACGTGTAGTGTATGTGTAGTGTACGTGTAGTGTATGTGTAGAGTACGTGTAGTGTGTGTGTAGTGTACGTGTAGTGTGTGTGTAGTGTACATGTAGTGTACGTGTAGTGTGTACGTAGTGTACATGTAGTGTATGTGTAGTGTATGTGTAGTGTATGTGTAGTGTATGTGTAGTGTACGTGTAGTGTGTGTGTAGTGTATGTGTAGTGTACATGTAGTGTATGTGTAGTGTACGTGTAGTGTGTGTGTAGTGTACGTGAAGTGTACGTGTAGTGTATGTGTATGTGTAGTGTACGTGTAGTGTACGTGTAGTGTGTGTGTAGTGTACGTGTAGTGTACGTGTACTGTATGTGTATGTGTAGTGTATATGTAGTGTGTGTGTGTAGTGTATGTGTAGTGTGTGTGTAGTGTACGTGTAGTGTATGTGTAGTGTGTGTGTAGTGTATGTGTAGTGTATGTGTAGTGTATGTGTAGTGTATGTAGAGTGTATGTGTAGTGTATGTGTAGTGTATGTGTGTAGTGTAGTGTATGTGTAGTGTATGTGTGTAGTGTACGTGAAGTGTACGTGTAG